GAAATCTCACTTTGTTACCAGGCTGGAGTGCAGGGATGCAATCTCTGTTTACTGCAACCTCCACCTCCTGGGTTCAAGCGATTCTCCTGCCTCAGCCTTTTGAGTAGCTGGGACTATAGGTGTGTGCTGCCATGCCCGGCTAATTTTTGTACTTTTAGTAGAGACACGATTTCACTATGTTGGCCAGGATGGTCTCAATCTTTTGACCTTGTGATCCGCCCGCCTCAGCCTCCCAAAGTGCTGGGATTACAGGCGTGAACAACCGCACCCGGACCAGAGTCTAGCTCTTTAAGAGTCACATAGTGTCATAAACAGTTTTCTCTGTGTTTTGTTTCGTTTTGTTTTGAAGGTGAGGACAAAAACATTTATTCAAAAATCTTTTATAACTCAAGGGATTGGTTTGCTATCAGCATTTTACTAAGAATTTAGTACTAACTAAAATATGCTTTGTACTTTTATTTATCTAAAAATGTTGGCGGCCGGGCATAGTGGTTCATGCCTGTAATCCCAGCACTTTGGGAGGCCAAGGCGGGGCGAATCATGAGGTCAGGAGATCAAGACTATCCTGGCCAACATGGTAAAACCCTGTCTCCACTAAAATACAAAAAATTAGTGGGGCATGGTGGTGAGTGCCTATAGTCCCAGCTACTCAGGAGGCTGAGGCAGAAGAATCATTTGAACCCGGGAGGCAGAGATTGCAGTGAGCCGAGATCGCTCCACTATATGCCAACCTGTTGACAGAGCGAGACTCCATCTCAAAAAAAAAAGTTAGCATATATATTTCAGATACTGATTTACACTTGCCACTATCAAGAGGGAGTATTTTCAGTGGATCTCAAATGTTGACCAGTGTTCTACTGATCTTATTAAATGGATTTGAAAGAAATATTTTCAAATTTACCATATAATGTGTTAGCGGTTGCTTTCTGTAATATTTTTGTCCCTTTTAGCACACAAATTGAGGCTAAGATCAGTAAAGATAAAAGCTGAAAAGAAACAAATTTTCTCGGCTTTGTTGAAGAATTCTAAATCATGCTACTTCTCCACAAATGATCCTTCAGTAATATTTAACCCAAGTATGCAATACCTGCATTTGGGTACATCTCGCTTTTTTTTTTTTTTAATGTTTCAGAATAGCCCATGTAAAAATACTGTGTTTCAAGTTTATTTGATATGTTCTGCTTGTTTATTTTTTTTCAAATTCTCTGTTGCTCTGGAAAACAGTGATGAACATGGACCCACTGGAACTAGAAGTTTCTTTACCTTTCTTCCTCGTTGGATGCACCACTGCCCTAAAGAACTGGTTCATCAGTCCAGTTAGTGTAGTCAGTTGTTTATTTATTTATTTATTCATTTTTTGAGATGGAGTTTCGCTCTTGTTACCCAGGCTGGAGTGCAATGGCGCGATCTCGGCTCACCGCAACCTCCGCCTCCTGGGTTCAGGCAATTCTCCTGCCTCAGCCTCCT